GTGGACTTGTAGGTTAGAGGGTGGACTTGTAGGTTAGAGGGTGGACTTGTAGGTTAGAGCGTGGACTTGTAGGTTAGAGGGTGGACTTGTAGGTAAGAGGGTGGACTTGTAGGTAAGAGGGTGGACTTGCAGGTTACAGGGTGGACTTGTAGGTTACAGGGTGGACTTGTAGGTTACAGGGTGGACTTGCAGGTTACAGGGTGGACTTGCAGGTTACAGGGTGGACTTGTAGGTTAGAGGGTGGACTTGCAGGTTACAGGGTGGACTTGCAGGTTAGAGGGTCAACTTGTAGGTAAGAGGGTGGACTTGTAGGTAAGAGGGTGGACTTGCAGGTTACAGGGTGGACTTGCAGGTTACAGGGTGGACTTGCAGGTTACAGGGTGGACTTGCAGGTTACAGGGTGGACTTGCAGGTTACAGGGTGGACTTGCAGGTTACAGGGTGGACTTGCAAGTTACAGGGTGGACTTGCAGGAAAGAGGGTGAACTTGTAGGTTAGAGGGTGTAGGTTAGATGGTGGACTTGTAGGTTAGAGGATGGACTTGCAGGAAAGAGGGTGGACTTGTAGGTTAGGGGGTGGACTTGTAGGTTAGGGTGTGGACTTGTAGGTTAGATGGTGGACTTGTAGGTTAGAGGATGGACTTGCAGGAAAGAGGGTGGACTTGTAGGTTAGGGGGTGGACTTGTAGGTTAGGGGGTGGACTTGTAGGTTAGGGGTTGTAGGTTAGAGGGTGTGGGTTAGAGGATGGACTTGTAGGTTAGAGGGTGTAGGTTAGAGGATGGACTTGCAGGAAAGAGGGTGGACTTGTAGGTTAGAGGGTGGACTTGTAGGTTAGAGGGTCGACTTGTAGGTTAGAGGGTCGACTTGTAGGTTAGAGGGTCGACTTGTAGATTAGAGGGTGGACTTGCAGGAAAGAGGGTGGACTTTTATGTAAGAGGGTGTAGGTTTCAGGGTGGACTTGCAGGTTACAGGGTGGACTTGTAGGTTACAGGTTGGACTTGCAGGAAAGAGGTTGAACTTGAAGGTTAGAGGGTGGACTTGTAGGTTAGAGGGTGTAGGTTAGAGGGTGGACTTGTAGGTTAGAGGATGGACTTGCAGGAAAGAGGGTGGACTTGTAGGTTAGAGGATCGACTTGTAGGTTAGAGGATGGAGTTGCAGGAAAGAGGGTGGACTTTTAGGTTAAAGGGTCGACTTTCAGGTTAGACGGTCGACTTGTAGGTTGCAGGGTGGATTTTTAGTTTAGAGGGTGGACTTGTAGGTTAGAGGGTTGACTTGTAACTGGACTTGTAGGTTACAGGGTGGACTTGTAGGTTAGCGGGTGTAGATTAGAGTGTGGACTCAGGCAGGGCTGCATGTTGTTGCCGACTACAGTGATGAGAACCAGCACCTCCAAATCCGAGACTAAGGTCCTCATTCAGGAATAAGGTGGACTGTCCTCCCCGGGTTGGAGTGAGTAGCTACCTCAGGTTGAGAAGTATATCAAGGTTTTGTTTACGGACGACGGAAGAATGGAGCCTGAGACTGACAGACAGCTCAGTGCAGCTTCCACAGTATTGGACACTCTTTGCCAGTCTGTTGTGGTGAAGAAGGAGCTAAGCTGTAAAGTGAAGCTCTCTTTTTACTGGAAGTCTTTGTTCCTACCCTGACCTATGATCCCAAACTTTAGGTAATCACTGAAAAAACAGATTTTTTTCTTATTAAAATATATTTTTTCTTTCTGCTGCCTTTCATTTTATTTGTGATTTGTATTTCTTATTGTAAATAGAATTTGAGACAAGCGATGATTAGAAAAACAGGCTCAAAGATACAGGCGGTTCAAATACATTTTCTCTGCAAGGAGGCTGGATTCTGTATTAGAGATATTGGGCCTCATGCAAGAACCGTTCGTACGCACAGATTTGTTCTTAAGTTGTGCGTTCGAGTGATTTAGGAGAATTTGTGGCATTCACCAATGTTTTCGTATTCTAAGATTTTTTTCAGATACGAACAAAATTCACGAGTGGTCCAGACCTATCGTATATTTTACCAGCAGTCAGCCTGCTGTTATCC